AGTCTAATTCGAACGAATTAAACTATATGTGGCGCCTATTATTGAACAATGAACACCATTTACAATATCACTCGATTATAGTGTTAAACTACACATTTTCGAAACCATGAATCGATCAACGTTAGACCACCATTAGAAACCTGGAAGCACTGGACGGCCGTTTTGTCCTGGTATGGGACTCCTCAGCAGTGCGCATCCATGACTCCTGCACCCCGCAGGATTCGAACCCAGGGCGTTCGGTATTGTAGGCGAACGCCTAACCATCGGACCACTGAGTTTTAGTACCAAAATGTAACTAATATGCTCAATTATATTATTATTCCGATTGATGGAGATCACTTACTATTCAGTCGATTAAGACCTGGATCATCGTTAGTGTTTTTTGTTAAATTTTTACGATAATTCTACAAGGCATAGGTTTAAATATAAATGGTACTGATCAATTACATTAAAGTTTAAGTACGTCATAATATTGAATGGTGGCAAGAAGGAAGTTCAAATTCAAAGTCTACTGATTATTCTCAGTCTTCCTCTGTTAAAACATTTACAGAGCAGTAACTGTTAAGTGTGTTACATATTTAGTTTTTCAGGGTCTTAATCACAGACTTTCATATCAAGTGAGTTGTAAGACACAAGTTTCATTGCTTTAAACGATAAATGCTTCTACAGTAATGTCACTGCACATAGATGGTAACTTTCAGTTGATATTGCAGAAATTGTCTGAGCTAATAGCCTCTTCTTCTCTGAACACTAATTGAATGGTTCGATTTATAAACACTCTTTAACATACTATGTAGTTAAGAATATTCATTAAGAAATGGAGCATAACTATACATCGAATCTAGCCATGTTCTTTCCTTGGCTAAAGAGTAGCATTCAAATCTATTCATGTTTCTTTCATTCTCCATTATTAATTGTAAAATATGTTAATTTTACAGTGCAGATGAAAGGCTCAATGAAAGAAGACCTTGTGATGCAAGAATTTTTTCTGATGGGAGTGTACTTTGGAATCCAATGGGTATATTTAAAAGTACATGTTCTGTTGATATTAAATACTTTCCATTTGATCGGCAAAAGTGTGTTCTGAAATTCGGACCTTGGAGTTATGATGGGTAAGTTAGAGGTTATAGTTAATGCTTTTTAAGTAGAAAAGGTTAGTGCTTAGTAAAAGTTTTGTTTTGTTTAAAAATACGCACACACATTTGTCAAAAAGTGGTATTTACTAGCATGGAATCGGACTCCAATCATTACGAACAGTTGAATATTAAAAGCGGTCGGCGAGTCGGCCATCTAAACGCGATGAGACATGACTAACTATTTATAATGAGACAAAAAAATTTAGCGTAAACTCGAGTCCATGGTTTTCCTTGTCAACTCCTTCCAACTACCTAACAAACATTAACAATAGTAAATTAATTATTATTATTATTATTCAAGAAGTAGAATCTAGGTGAAATAAACTTAAAAGAAAAAGTTAAAGGTGTTGAGGAATTCAGAAGGTTAGGATTTGAGAGAACACAGAGAATAAATGCACCTGCATCATTGCAAATGTACACGCAACTTTTTCAAATACCGGTTAAAATGTTTAGTGATATTACTTTAATGCTTTACTGACCACAGTGTGTACATATTTATTCGTGTCAATGAGAAATTCTCAAAAGCTCTTGAAGTAAATGCAACGAAGTGATTTTTTTCCGTATATCGCTTTACAAATATCACCTTTGTTGTGTAAATCAATTCATAGTCTCGATATTAGATTAAATGTTCATTTCATTTTAAAAATTGAGCTTGTACTGATGCTTCACGATACTGTACAATAATCTTTCAGAGTAACCCGTGATATTTAACTAATTACCTGTTAGTAGCCAATATCAGATTGCAAAGTCCATAACGTTATGTGAATTACATGGCACTGTGGTTAGATTTCTAAGTGTCCCAACCTTAATGTCAAATTTATCTGAATTTGGATTTTGGAAGGGGGTCATTGGAGGACCTTTGACCTTATTTCACGGTAATAGCAATCGTAAGTAAAGCATATCTCTTATCAAGTAGTCAAATATATCCCTCTACAAATTACCTATTTTCGTTTCCCAGGCACTTTACTCCTGACCTATTTATGCAGCGACTGGAGATATTTAGAACTGGGATATTTATAATTACATAATTACCATTTCGTGTCGCCTAATACTTTGTGCTAACTGGATACTGTTGATGAAGAAAATCACTAGAAATTTTGTTAAAACAAAACTGTCAATACATTTGCAAATTCCAACTATCAAATTAAGTAAAAAAAGAAGATGCATATTGATCTTTTCAATTAATATCAATGCACATTTCATTGGAACTGTATATTTTCTTTTTTAGATTTCGCGTTAACATTTCATTTTATGATGGTGAACGTAATTTTCGTCTACTTAATTATATTACTAATCCTGAATGGAATTTATTAAATTCCAGTGCTGTATTCACAGAAATCTCTTATCCATGTTGTCCGGAAAAATATCCTGATATTACATTTCATGTATGGATTAAAAGAAAATCAGCATTTTATACATACATTTTAATTATACCAAGTATACTATTATCATCGCTTACATCAGTTATCTTCTGGTTGCCACCACCTTCACCAGCCAAGATTGTTTTAGGTAAGTAAGTAAAGATAAATATGGCTATTTGGTTGAAATAAATAATCACTTGAAATTAGTTGATAAAACAAGTTAAGTAATTCATTTAGTGAATTAGACAACATATATTGACGAGTAATCAATCTTATACGGTTGGTAAAATGTCATCCGTCGCAAGCACTATGATATTCATTCATTTTTGGTAACATTATTGATTACTTACTTACGCCTGTTACCCCCAATGGAACATAGGCCGCCCACCAGTTTTCTCCAACCAACTCTGTCTTGGACTTCCCTTTCCAGTTCTGTCCAACTTTTGTTCATTCTTCTCATATCTTTCTCTATTTCTCGACGTAATTTTCTCCTTGGCCTTTCTCTTTTACTTTTACCTTGAGGGTTCCATGTGAGGGCTTGCCTTGTGACGCAGTTTCCGCTCCATACAGTAGAACTGTCTTCACATTTGTATTGAAAATCTTGATTTTGGTTTTGGTTGAAAGTTGTTTGGAGTTCCAGATATTTTCAATTGTAGAAATGCAGCCATTGCTTTGCCAATCCGCGCCCTCACATCTGCATCGGATCCACCTTGATTGTCGATGATGCTGCCCAGATATGTATAAGTGTTAACGTCCTCCAAGGCATCTCCATCGAGAGTGATTTGGTTGATGCATGTTGTGTTGCATCGGAGAATCTCACCCTTACTCTTATGCATGTTGAGACCTACTGCTGCTGAGGCTGCTGCTACACTGGTCGTCTTCTTTTGCATTTGTTGTTGCGTGTGCGATAGAAGAGCCAGGTCATCTGTGAAGTCCAGATCGTCCATTCGCATCCTAGCTGTCCATTGGATACCGTACTTCCAACCAGATGTTGGAGTCTTCATAATCCAGTCGATCGCCAGGAGAAAGAGAAAGGGCGAAAGTAAGCAACCTTGCCTGACACCGGTCTTCACCTCGAACGAGTCTGTTAGCTGTCCTCGGTGCACGATTTTGCAGTTGAATCCATCATAAGAATTCCGTATGATGTTAACTATCTTCTCAGGCACAAACATTAATGATTATCTTTCAGCAAAATAATACCAAACGTTGATAGATTATTCAAATGGTTATCTACAACATAAGTGTGCATTGTTTTCGGATTACGTAGTTAGTGTCGATACTTTACAGTTGTACATCAGTATCTCCTTATTACATTCACAACTAATTATGAGTATCAACAAGAGTGTTCATTTCTAAAAAAAGATAGATTGAAAATTAATAGACCTACATGACTTTATTCCAAAAAAATAATCCAAAGGTTGAAGGTGTTTAAATCGAAAACTGACGATTCTCTTCTCAAAGTCAAATAACAAAGTTTTGAATTCAACTTTCATAGCTGCTCGGAAATCAACTTTACAAAACTTTTCAATGTATAATTCTTACTTACTTACTTACTCTCATTACCCCCAATGGAGCATAGGCCGGCGACAAGTATTCTTCAAGCTACTGTGTCTTGGGCCTTCCTTTCTAGTTTCCTTCGATAATTGTTCATTCTTATCATGTCTATCTACATTTTTCGGCGTAATATGTTCCTGGGCCTTTCTTTTTTCCTTTGACCTTGAGAGTTCCTAAAGAGAGCTTGTCTTGTGAGACGAATGTATAATCCACGCAAATTATAATTATTCAACAATACCTTTAAATTATAATACTTAGTCTCTGATGTCACAGTTATCTTCTAATCTCTGTTAAAATCAGTTATTAATTTGGTATAAACTTCTGTTAAAATTGGAAGCTTATGCTTAGTTGTTAGATTTTAGTTTAATCAGTCAGAAATCTTTTTTTCAACAATTAAACTCTTACTTCACAACTATGCTTTTATTAATTATCGAGTAAAAAGCAAAATGTCAATACTCTTTAAAAATTATTTTATTACATAGTCTAACAAATAAGTCGACACTTCATATTCTTAATTTTTTATACCATATGAATATAAATATTTTGTTTAAACTAGGAATCATACAATACAAGATTTTAATATGAATGAAACTTTTTGATTATCAAAAATATTCTATTTAACGGAAATTGCTATCAATAGGATTCATGTACTAAAAAACAGTCAACTATGATAAACATGATATCTTCAATGTACTAAAATATCAGTAATATATATATATCACAAACAAATAATGATAATCTTCATTCTACGGAACAGATTTGTCAGATGTTATTGATTCATACTGTGAGCAATGGAATATGAGAATGTCCTGGTTTTTCAGTCAACAATTTAAACACGGTCTTGTTTCATGCATAGTGTTGTTAAGTTGAGTTATAAAAATATGACTTCATTTCCTGAAACGATTAAAATACAATACAGAGAGATTGTATTTATTCAAAACATTTTATGGTAAATAAATAAATAGAGTTTTGAAAAGTTTTTTAGTTAGTCTAAGTTTGTTGACTCATCTGTGTAAGCTTTACTGAATGAATAAGATTAGAAGATTTGATTTTATACCCAAAGAGTTGATTTTGCAATAAGAACTCTGTGGTTTGAACAATAATGAATTATTCAGTATCCATGTATTTAACAACAATTTCCTGTGTTTATTACTGACGTTTATGTGATGGAATCATCAGTCAGTTATGTAGTGAAGCTAGTTTCAATCCCATGGAGAGCGTCTGTGACCCCAAAACTTCGCATTAGCCTCACTGACAAGTATCAACTAACACTAAACGTAGGTTCATAATTTCTTGCCAACTACCCCTAAATATTGTACATTTAGAAAATTGAAATAATCAACTGTTAGAACACATAGATTTACAAAAAAAGCTAATGTATCATTCAAAATTACTTACTTACTTCACTTACGCCTGTTACCACTACTCAAGCATAGGACACCCACCAGTTTTCTCCAACCAACTCTGTCCTGAGCTTCCCTTTCCAGTTCTGTCCAACTTTTGTTCATTCTTCTCATATCATTCTCTATTTCTCGGTGTAATGTGTTCCTTGGCCTTCCTCTTGCCTTGTGGGTTCCATGTGAGGGCTTGTCTCGTGACGCAGTTCAGTGCTTTTCGCAGTGTGTGTCCTATACACTTCCACCGCTTCTTCCTGATTTTCTCTTCCGCTGAAATATAGTTTGTTCCTTCCCACAGTTCGTTGTTGTTGATCGTGTCGGGCCAACGAATCCACAGTATTTTGCGTAGACAACTGTTCATAATTACTTGTATATTCTGGATGATGGCTTTGGTAGTTCTCCAACTTTCCGCTCCATACAGTAGAATTGTCTTGACATTTGTATTGAAAATCCTGATTTAGGTTTTGGTTGAAAGTTGTTTGGAGTTCCAGATATCTTCCAACTTTAGAAATGCAGCCCTTCCTTTGCATCGGATCCACCTTGGCTGTCGATGATGCTGCCAAGATATGTAAAGGTGTTAACGTCCTCCAAGGCATCTCCATCAAGAGTGATTTGTCATTCAAAATAGCTTGTCGTAAATTGTTTGAATTAACAGTGAAACGGTAGTTATGAGTTTTACTGTGAACAGATGATAGATATTATGGTAGAGTTTTAGAAAATTATTCAATTCATACAAAAGACACACTCATTTCACGAACGTTTCAACAAAATTTAATCTAAAATATTTTTAGGATCATGTGAAATACAGCGTTGAAAATCTTTATTAACCAACAGTTTTGTTACTGCCAAAAAACTTGACAGTTATATTTCATCTAATGTACTGAATTCAGGAAAGCAAATAATGGAACATTTTGAACACTAATATTGTAAGAGTCAAATAAAATTTAGTTTGCATTAGCTGAAAAAAAATGAATCTTATTTACCAGCTGTTTTCATGCTTGACTGATAAGATGAAAATTATATAAAGTCAGTTAGGATAATCTATCATTATTGTGTGAAACACAATCCATTTTTGAATACAACTATATTTTCAAATAGAATTGTAATCCAGGCTGCTTCAGTTGTCTTCTAAACAAGCTCTTGAGTAGTTTGAATAAAATGTTATATTACTAAATTCAGTTAATGGAAGAAATCATTGACAAGATCCTTCATACAGAATAGAATAAAGAGCCACTGCTTGATTAACTAGTGGCTAGATTTGACATGGGTTTTCAGATATCTTAATAAGAAGTTATAACTTGAGTACTTAAACAACTCTTATCTCTAATGATACTTACTCAGAATGGTCCTATGGCATTAAGTGACTGAATTAAGCGAGTCAATGACCAAATGCCGGCTCAGTGTCTTGAAGTTCTCTACACTAAAAGTAAGGGCTGAAGAGTTTTCTTCGATACAGCATGAAGTCGTTGGTGAGTGATGATGAGGAGTACAAAAGAAGGAAGTAAAATCTTCCATATGTACTTCTGTTTTAAATAGTCCCTCAGCCGAAATTAGTTTCTAGTATACACTATTTTCATGCCCTGAAATATCATCACAAACCCCGAAATAGAAAAACATTGTAAAGTTTGCGGTTAAGCACTCGAACTCACAACACTCTCAAAATTTAAGTAATCCATTCAAACAATATGGTTCACAATTGAATCAACATTCATTATTTTACTTTTATGGGTCCAAAAGCTTCACTAACAATACCCATTATTTATCCCAAACTCATATTTTCTAAAATCTTATAGCATATCCTTTGGTTGTACACGTATATGGCTTATCAAAATTATTTTGACTTTTCATCAATCTAAGTTTTATTACAATTAATAGTCATTAGGCAGTCATATTTGTAATTTTGAGTGAATCAGTACTATCTATGCAATTTGAAGTGACATCACCTACCTTCATAATTTGCGAATTGATTGATAATAAGAGTGAAATCAATTGATCATTGAATGATTATCGATCAATCGTAAACACTCATCAATTTCATCAATTCTTTGTCCTTATATTCTAAGCACTTTTCTTTCCCTCAATCATTACCACTTCGTAAATAAGAAAAATCAATATGGCTGAAAGAAGAAACCCTTCATGAATTTACCACTGAATGTTTTAGAAAAAAAAAAAGCCTGAAAGAATCTGGCAATGTCCTTGTAATTTAAAGTATTGGCTTCATTGTACTGACAGATCTTTATGATAATTTATGAACCTAACAAACATTATAAATCATAAGCACTTTTTATCGAATGGCGATAATATGACATAATGTCATCGTTTTATCAAATGATTCAATTTATTTTTGAATGAAAATATCATTTTACACTTTCTTAGCGTAATGTTTTCAACATGTTGACCTCATTTCACATTAATTGATTTTTGATTATCTCAATTTAATGAAAAAGAATTAATGATGAATTCAGTGAAACTATTCAATTGTGATTTTTTTTTAAAAAATTTCATGAAATTTGATTTGTAACATTTTATTAAGGAATTTAATATGCTTTTCTGAAGTAATGATTGGATGTTGTTGAGACGTGAAAGAAAACGATTGTGAATCAGTCATTGTTAGACTACCATTAGAAACCTGGAAGCACTGGGTGGCCACTTCGTTCCAGACCTTTTCGCTCAATATCCCTAGATTGATCAGAGTTAGACATTGACACCATTGGATGTTGACCCACTGGTCCAGAGGTTAAATGTTCGCGCGCAAGACTGGAAGTCCTGTGTTCAAATCCTGCATAAGTCCAAGGATGATTACTGCTGATGAGTCCCATACCAGGACGAAACAGCGGTCCAGTGCTTCCAAGTTTCTAATGGTGGTTTAACAGTAGTTGATTCATATTTCAGGAATAAATAACAATCTTCATAACTCTATAATGAGGTTGCTTTTTTTGATCTGATTGGTTCCGTAACAAACCATTCATTGTCATTTCCGACAGAATTATCTATGACTACTTTTAATAGAAGTTCAGATCTGAACAAATAGATCTAGCACTTGTGGTAAAATTTTAAAGTGTTCAGATTTTTAAAAAGTCAATATATTTTATGCAGTGAATAAATAAAAACCTAGCATCTACTTAGAAGGTTTGAAATTATCCTACTTGATGTGATGCTGGAATGTTTTTAAGGTTTGATTGTATAAAGTCATGGATGAACTTAGCTGCCCGATTACCACATGTTACTAAATTTGTAACTGTTTTTTAAGCTGGTTGCAAGGTTACACAAAAACTTGCTTAGCAAAAAAACTCGAAAGAGACATTATTAAAGATTGGATTACCTGTAGATTGCGGTTTATTTAATGAATTGACATAAAATAGGTTTTCTGCATTAATACTAAAACTACTTTCCCATCGTTCAGTAAGATATTATTTGTTAAGGTATTTTCTCCATTAACTATCTAAGTTATTTAGTCTTTTTTTTTATTAAATCACGAGAAACTCTTGTCAGTGATTCACTTGACCTGGTCAAAATACTTTTTTGTTCTTATAATAACTAATCTATTCACAAAGAATTGATAAAACTTCTAAACATACACATTTTATCCCATTTTTAACCGGTACATAAGCAAATGTTACAAAAATACGCAGTCAATAAAGCATAGTGGCTGTCATGAAGTTCTGAAAGGTTTCTCTAACGTAACGTGCAAAACCGCAAATGAACAGAATCAGTAACTTAGAGTAGGAAATGTCTTCAGTGGATTGAGTTAAACTCTATCAAATCATACTTTGCTTGGTATTCACACTATCTTTGGTAGCTAATAGTGAGCATTACATGACTTAAGTTTCGTATTCGTGAAAATTCATCATGTGTAATTATCTTCATTGTAGAAATCTTTAATCCCCAGTAAAATTTAGCAAATCATGAGCCGATCAACGTTAGACCACCATTCAAAAGCTATAATCACTAGATCGGCGTTTCGTTCTAATATAAGACTAATCAGCAGTGCAGATTCACAACCCTAAAAACAAAGAATCCATCCAAGAACCTTCAGTTTCACATGTGAACGCTTCACCAATGAGCCGATATCCAACAGTACTTCTGATAAATCCCATACTAGGAAGAAATGACTGATTGCTTCCTGTGGTAGTCCAACACCGATCGGTTCATGATTTCAATCTAACTCAGCAGTCTCTACAATCCTACGCTGAGAAGGTGTTCTGTTTACGGTCATGACCTACGTTTTGAGCCCAAAAAATCTCTCTTAGTGTTTATACTGTTTCGGTCCGATATTCCAACATTTTCTCAGTTTAACACTTGTATCCTCAACTATTCAAATGCATGTTTATAAGCCAGTACAAAATAATTAACTTTCTGTATCCATTCTTTTTTCTTGTCATCGGCTATTTTACTTCTAGAAATAAAAAGAAAATAGTTAACTCAAATTTTTCCACTTTGATAAGCTTCAAACAACTCTCCTACAAGTAGAAAATAAATTTTTATACATCAAGACATATATATATATATATATAAACATATATATTTATCCCAATAAATGATCTTAGTTGTTTGTTGATTAAAAAGCAACATTTTTTCTTTACACTGAGTTAAACGAAACGAAACAAAACGTTAAATTAGAGAATATCAACAGAAAGAAAGGCAGTTCTATAGGTACATATATATGTATATATATATATATATATATATATATATATATACAACAAAATAGAGCTCAATAAAACTTCACCTAAAAGAAGAAATCAACAGTATGCAACATAGAGAAACAAAAAAAAAGAAGAGAGAAAATAAAGACAATGTAACATTGAACTTGTTTCAATGAATCATTGAACAAGTGTTATCATTTGTTTTACTCAGTGAAATAATCTCATTTTCTTGTGTTTGATAATTTCTTAATCAGTAGTCTCTTTCTCTCTTTAATTTACTTAGTCTTTCATGTAGATAATCTTGAGTTATATATTAGAATGTGTTTTTCTTTATTTCTTTTTTTGCGGATATTTCATATTTCTGATTTAGAACAAAATAAGATTATATATATATATATATATATATATATATATATATATCCACATATTCACATGAAAGATATTTATGACCCTAAACGACCGTTGTTGTTGTTGTGGCCACTTTTAATGCCGCAAAATGCAATTCATCATCATCATTATCTTATGTAGACATTTTTTTTTCTTCTCCTAAGCATCATCATCCAACTCTGTTTTTCTGTCATTTCAAGATTATCATAATTCATTTTCATTATCCAGTGAAAAAAAAAATAATAATAAACAATTTATTTTTATGGACAAATTTTTATATTTAACCAGAAAATATGATTAAGATTGTGTTATTAATTTTAATGTGAATTCGACAAGTTAATAGAAATACTTACCGGAAAAATGAGATAAACTTTTTTAGTTAAGTCAATTCTGAAATTCCGTCAGTACGTTTGAATCTACAGCTCATCATTGTCGGGCTATAGTTTCTTTTTTCACAAATTATATTTTACAGATCGGTTTATAGAAAAACCAATTTTAACGATTATATTAAACGAATATATTTAATGGTGGTTCTTTGGGCTGAATGGTTTGGTTGTGGAGCTTTCACGCTTCTTCTGAACAACATCATCAGCACAAATTTCAGGTAGAAGTGAAGTATTCTAAATTTTTCCACGTATGACTTGTTGTAGTTTGTCATATCGACCTCGATCTTGATCAGTTGTTACTGGCCTTTAACATTTCACTGTTAACAAGCATAATCATTTGCCTGAGCTACATATTTTTTCCATCTCAAAATTAAGTGCCCTTCATAGTGTTTACTTTTGATATATATGTATGCCGTTTTTTTTTGAATTTATTACAGCAATGAACGTATTTGTTGCATTCCTGCTCCTTCATCTTTTATTGGAAGATACAACACCGGCAGCTGCAAGTAATTTCCCATTACTTGGTAAGTGAATGGTTACTGATTAAAGATATATAAATTTAGGCAATTTTTCTAAAAGTCAGTTGTCACAATAATATCGATAACGAGCCAACTCACTAATTCATTGGAAACTTTCATATATTTTAATCATCCAACAGAATAATCACAAATTGATCTATATTTTTAATACTTTACGTTAATTGTCAATCATACTGTTAATTCAAATAAAAATATACGTAGAACAGATTGAATGTGAGGGTGGAAACTTGTGGAACTATAAAAGCCATCATCCAGAGGATATAAGTATTTATTAACAGCTATCTACGCAAAATACTTCAAATCTATTGGCCAGACACCATCAGCAATAATCTGCTGTGGGAGAGAACAAACCGGATTCCATAGGAGGAGGAAATCAGGAATAAGCGGTGCAGGTGGATAAAACACACATTGAGGAAAGCACCGAACTGCGTCAAAAGACAAGCCGCCGCTTGTAATCTTGAAGGACAAAGAAAAAGTGGGAGACCAAAGAAGACATTAGGCGGAGAAATGGAGACAGACATGAGAAGAATGAACAAAAAACTGTACAAAACTGGAAAGGGAATCCCAGCACAGAGTAGGTTGGAGAATGCTGGTCGGCGGCCTATGCTCCATTGGAAGGTAACAGGAGTAAGTAAGTAAGTAAGTAAAGATTGAATGTGACCAGCAAGGGAATCTAAGACGCATGTTTGGGACTCTTCAACACAGTATATGTAAATCATCTGAAATTGACCTGCTCAATTAATTGTTTTTTTTTTGAAAGAAGAATAGATATTCATCTTTAGAATACGATATCTTCTATTAATTAAATAAAGATTTCATAATAACCATAAACCAACTAAAAAAATTATTAGAAATAACTAACTGTTTTTGTTGAACCTTTAAATTTTTTAACAGTCCAAAGAAGTTTATATTATTTACTTAATTAGAGTCATGGAGATCATTGTTTTTACACATTGAAATCACCAATCAATCATTGCTAGACCACCACCTCCATAAGTCGTAAAATGTGCCCACTAGTGATTAGCTTCGTGAGGAGATTCTCGGAGTTCTAGTGAGAAAACGTGACTGGTGGAGTTCAACCCTATTGGATATAGGCAGTAACTACCAATGACAAATGTGTGAGGTTGCGCAAAACCTCTAGATCAATCAGAATTAGACATTAACACTGTTGGATGCCGACCAAGCAGTCTGGAGGTTAGGCGTTCACGCGCAAGGCCGAACGTTCCAGGTTCGATTCCTGAGAGGTGCAGGAATCTTGGATGCGCACTGATGATGAGTGGCATACCAGGACGAAAGTCCAAACAACCAATACAAATGATTAACCAGGAGAATTTTCAAATCGCAATCGTAACAGCAGACAAAGGATAATAAATGATATTGAATATTATTCCTATCTACCGAGTAAAATCTGTAAAATCAAGAAATGCAGTGAGATGTATCGATTGCAACAAGAAACTAAACCTCGATTTCTAACTCACTAACACTCATAAGTAGGAAATATCTACAATATTGGGACATCTCATAGCTATAGTACGGAAATTCAACCCAGTATATGTAGTATCTGTATGGATATCAGCATATATCATAGTGACGATAATTATGATCTATAATTAGTAAGATTAATTTTAATCTCAGTCAAATGTATAATTTCTGATATTTTACTGATAAGAAAAGCTCAGTTTGTCACCTAGAAAACTCATTTACTGAATAAGAAAATAAATCGATTATCATGGATTTTATAATCAATTATGAAAGAATATTAATTCGTTTCTCGTTTTCTTGAATTCGAACCGGTTATTAATACGTATAAAAACTATGTAATCGATATTCTATGTAGGTAAAAACATGGATTGCAATCCAAACTACATTAAAATCTATTAGTGTGTAGAAACCTACGATTATTAATGAACAGTGAATTCAAATAAAATATTATAGAAAATGTTCTATTGACACCAGTCAATAGAAAAGTGAAGAGAACACTTGATATAATCGACCTTATCAATCCTCTGGTATGTTAACAACAAATGCCACAATCTTTCCACTTTCAGACAAGAATTTAAGAGTTCCTGTGAATGAAGATCAATGATCTTTATCAGAATAGTTATTTTCGACATTAACTCCATCTTAGCAATTGTAAACCATTCAAATTTTCCAGTTAACAGTATTTGTTCAATAATTGATAAACAGTTTTAGAAAGTATGTTTTTAAAGTTATCTTCAGAATAAATCACAAACTCTTCACAGAGAAATGAGTGGAGAATTAAGTCACTATTCCCCACTCTTTGATAGTACTTTATTAATTATGGAATCCATCATCGTTTAGCTCGTTCGTACTGAATCACTGTTTACTTTACTTCTTTACGCTCACTTCCGAGTTACTTTTAATATTTTCATTCATTCTAAAATCAACGACTATTTATTCTTCATAGTTTAATTACTACTGTTGGGGACGTTAGATCCCCAGAACTCGCTTGATAAAAGTCTTAATTTCGACTTTTATTCATGAGCTGATCAGTTGACCTCGAGATCACATTTCTCACCAGGAAAATCCTTGGCTGTGACTGGTTACTGCGTCATTTTAGTGTGCTATTTTTGTGACTCTTCCAAGGACGTCTCTATGGAGCATAAATAAACGCAATTTGAGTGCTTGGATTCATTGTGTGCTTGCTGGGTGTTTGTAGAATACACTTTCTACGCTATATCAAGACTTTTCCGTCAATTAGTTTGGGGCAACCGATAGGGTAGGCTACTGTGTCACTGGTTCATTGTCTTGTTCTCGTTTATCGACTAAGGTGAACTCGTAATAGTTTCAAGCATATCAAGTGACGAGCATAACAACTACACATCATTTGATGTTTACTGTAAATACTAATAAACCTCGCTTACTATTTGAATACTAATGACATGATGATAACTCACAAAACTTACCAGCAATTATTCCTTATTGACTAAAGAATTTTTAAACTGTATTTACACATAATTGAAGACATATTGTTTGTGAGAAATAAATTTAAATAAATCTGTTATGTTCGTCGCTAGCTACGCTTGAAGCTATTACGAGTTCACCTTAGTCGATAAATGCGAACGAGACAATTACCAGCGTCCAGGTAGGCTGCCTTGAATCCCAAACTGCAAACAGAAGACTTGACAAGCATAGAAAGTATATTCTACAACACCCAGCAATCACAATACAATCAAGCACACAACTTTCGTTTATTTACACATCATAGAAACGTCCTTGGGACAGTTACGAAAATAGCACACTGAAACACACAACAGCCAATCGTAGCCATGGATTTTCGTGGTGGGAAATGAAATCTCAAGGTCAACTGATCAGCTCATGCTCGCAAACGTGAAATCTAAGATAAGGCATTTATGAAGCGAGTTCTGGGGATCTAACATCCGCAACAGAATCATTATTTACTAATATTTTTAGCTTTTGATACAAAAATGTCTTATAAAGTGATAACAGTAAAAATTGCAATTGATTTGCTACCTCAATACTACCTTCTATTTACTAACTGTGTAAATATTGTGACGACTATTTATTGTCTGTTTACAGGGCTAGTCACTACAGCGCTTTCGAAAATCTGAAAACCTCCCATTTTGACAAGTACTATAAAGTACGTGTGAAGAGGTTATGTTAGGTAATCTCTTTTTTTCTAAAGAAGCTAATCAACTTGAAATGTATACATGAAGAGATCAATACATATAGATTGTAACCATTTCACCTAGCTTACACATTCTGGTACGATGAATTTTGTATGAATGAGATGAGATAAATAGTAGACAGTTATTGTTGTTATGTATCCAATTGATCGATAAATTAAAGTGAAATTTATTACAGCAAACATGGTTTACATAATACTGAATAAAATAATTGACCAAAATAATTATTTTACACAATTTCATATGAATATACATTAACCTAATTTTCTATTGATACACATAGTAAAAATTAATCAATATATATACATATATTCTTTCTTTGCATGTTTTTAGGTGCATATTATTGTTTCAATATGGGTGTCATTACAATTTCAATGTTTTTATGCTGTATCACAGTTAATATACATTTTCGAACAGCTGAAACTGAACAACCATCTAAATGGTTAAGAAAAGTAAGATGGATTTCTAAAAAAAAACGAATTGAATTTTTAATTATTTCAATTTATTTATTGTTGAAAATGTAAAACATTTTGATTATGAGAAGACAATAAATAAATGTTCATACTATAGATTAATGATGAAATATGATTTCGAGTAGAATTTCATAGGATGCATGTTTTATCCCAATCAGGATGAATGTACCTGCATCGAAGAATTGATGTTCATTACGGGAGTTGAACTGAGTACCTCTAAACCAATGTGAGATTTAATTGAAGGTCAAATAAATGCTCTGATGTTCGGTAATTTTTTTTAAAAATTTTTTGTTATTCCCTTGAAAAACCTTGAACCTGACTACATAGTCAAACACTGGAGTTATTGAATTAAAATTATTTGAATTTTTATAAAAAAGATTGTTTTTTTATTCTAAAAATTGTCTAAAAATATAGAGTAGACATAGCCAATTTAAAAGTACTACTCAAATAATATAAATTGTGGTTTCGGATACTGTACAGTTTTTTATTTTGATTTGATCTGACATTGAATCTAGAAAATTACATATCTTTTGTATACTACTAACAACTAGATATTCATTTGTTTTCCATTGTTTTTTTATTAAAGTTTTTCCATTGCACGCATAATTATTTTACACATAGTATTCTAAATTTAAAAAAAAATGAAATATTGTCTAGTCAGTAATAATATCGTGAAATTGTTGGGGACGTTAGATTCCCAGAACTCACTTGGGAAAAGTCCTAACGTTGTAAATTATTTCTGAAATTTTGAATTTTAATGTTTTCGCGCCAAAGACGCTTAGTTGACGTACAGCTTACATTTTTCACTTGGAAAATCCTTGACTGTCATTTGGTTGATGGATTATTTTAGTACGCTATTCTGTGGCTCTTCCAAAGGCGTTTCTATCATTGTATAAATAAGCTTGAGTTGTGTGCTTAGCAACCTTGTTTTTACTGGGTGCTTGTAGAATACATTCTCTACGCTTTTGTTAGCGGGTCCTGGGACACTCGGATTAGAATAGCCTATCGTGTCATCGCATCATTTATCTTCGCTCCGTTTACCGAGTAAGGTGAACTCGTAATAGTTTCAAGCATATCAGAAATGTTAACCTGAAAATTCATGCATCAAATAAAGTTACGCAATAGTTTAAGGGTAGGAAAGTGTAGAAATAGCGCACCAGATGAACACATAGTGAAAGCCATTTAAAAATACTAGAATTAAAAAAGGCGTTTAAAGCCACTGTGAAATAAAAGCTTGCAAATATTGTTTATCAACGCAATCTAAAATGTTAAGCCCCAAAAGCCTATGTGATGCTCATGTTTTGAACCAATAAATTTTTCTCCATAGATATCATCATCAACGAAACTGATGCGAAATGAAGGTGGAAAAGTAAAACGCCTCTAACTGTAATTCTCTCTGGTCTATGATCGATCTCGCTCAGTCAGAATTGTATGCTTCTCACTTTAGGTGCTTTATGAGTTTAGAATTAGTTTCCGTTTTAAGAAGACACTTTCCGTATGGCACTTATGAACTTTTATGACATGTAATTCATATATTTCACTAAGTAACATTTGAAGAAAACTATATGGTCTTTTACTTTAAAAAATTGATCAGTTAATTAAAAAATTCATCATGAAAGTTGACTTCAGAATTGAATATGAAGAATTATTGAACTTGTAATCCTGCTGAGATATTATTTTAAACTTTGAGTTCAAGAGTAAAATACTATTCATGAATAGTAGAACACCTATAAATACGAATGGTTAATTTTACTACATTTTGTTTTTAACTCCTTATTCATTTATCAATCATTTAAAAATTTCATAGTCAGATAGCTTATTTTAGTTAAACTTCTATGTTAGGCATAATAAAATATTACTGAAAAAGAACAAAGTATAAACTTATAATGTTCATCACAAAGTGACATCAGATGAAGCAGTACTGAGAGTGAAGAACCACAAACTGACTAGTTCAAATCTAACTAACAAGATTCATCCTATCAATTTACACCTTTTAGATATCTCATTAGCATCCGTCATTTCCCTTATGTCCTAATTTTTAAGTTCTATTGTTTTTCGATGAGATACAATACAAATCCAGTACACTATGTAGTTGACTGAGTTTTTTCCTACTGAAATAAAATCAGGAGATCTAAGTTTTCATGGGACGATTAATACATCAATTTTGAAGTTAGTCACTTTTTGATTGAGCTTTCTAATGCGAGTCATTGAGTTCTTATTCAGTGTTCAATTAACGCCAACTTCCCCATATGACCTGGCAATCCCGGGATCAGTGTGGCGTAAAATGAGTAATGAAGAGGCGTTTGAAATGAAAACAAAACACTTTTCATATGCTATATGTTTTCGAGTGGTTCGCTAGTGTAAGTTATTGAATAAAGGTGTAATCAAAGTACTTTAATTGTTCACAAAATCGCTATTACTATATTCTAATCAGGACTTTCACAAAACTGTAGTAAGTGCATGCATGGATTTTTTTTTTGTTCAACAGAAATCATAATGAATTATATGCAAAGTAGATTTATGACTATAAAATATACTAAAAGTACAAAAATTAGACATGATTATAATTAAATCTTACAATGAAACATGATTGATTGATAAAAATATAGATAACAAAGAGAAAGCTATGATATTATTATATAATGTATACGCTAGTACATGTGACGCGTAAATTTATTGAGCTCATAGCATTTTATATCTCACAATAAGCAAGATTCTTTGATGCCAGTGAGCAATAAAAAAAAATGATGATAATTACACTAATAAAGAATACTTGAAAAGAAACGTAAACCTGACTTTTTTTTCATCACATGAATCCTATTCAAATAATCATGATCAATAATCAATCTTAGATGAAACACTTAGGACTAAAAGACGTCACACTCGCTTATTTGGATAATGACATAGTGTCTGCAGTGTGATTTTCAAAATTTCTACGTAAGAATATAACCACTATCGATTTTAAAGTATAATAATCAATATTTTAAAATGTCAGTTCTGTATACCATTGACTTACAATCATATGAACGAACACTCAATGGACACTGGAAAACAAAATGTATCATACAAGCAGTACTACTACTACTACTACTTACTTACTTATAGTTTCTATAATCTTATTTATGAAATGATAAGAGATAAATAATAATTGTGAATAGACTTCTCTTTTTTTCAAAAAAAATAATACTACTAACTAATGATGAGATATTCTTCATAAATAATTAACAATACTATTTTATAACAAATATGAATTTTAATTAGAAAAAAAATAATAATAGTAAGTAGCTGTGATAGTATAGAGAAAGATATGAGAGGAATGAACAAACATTGGACAGAACTGTAGAAGGAAGCCCAGGACAGACAGAGTTGGTTGGAGAAAACTGGTGGGCGGCCTATGCTCCATTGGGGGTAACAGGCGTAAGTCAGTAAGTAAGTAAGTAAGTAAGTAAGCTGTGATAATGTAGTCATGAATCTATCTAATCAAACTATATTTTCTGATGTACATATTCATTTCAAATTCTGTTTGTTTACACTGATAATAATAATGCTAATCTAAGCAGGAAATGGGTGTAACTGTTGCTTTCATATCCTTTCAAATTATCTACAATATGCATAGATAATATAGTAACAAAAACAAACTGTTCTACTATCTCAAACGAAACAATCATTTCAAAAACAAACAAAAAAACTTTACGAATTAGAGAAAAAAAAATGCAGCACACTTTTGTTTGTTTGTTTGTTTTCTCTCTCTGTCTCTCTGTTTAATGACTAGTTTTTTTTTGAGGATATTACATTGTTACATTACTATCATTCATGTTATTAACACATTATTAGCATTACTTAAAAATGGCGTCTAGAAGAGATTAGTAATTAATTTAGGAATAATCTCTATTGTAGATTTCTATTGACTTCAGTGTAATGATTGTTTACATTCCCATCTGTATCACGATTCTATAATTTGTTTTTTTTTTGGTAAAAACTGATAATCTAGTTTTGGAATATGATACGAGAAATGTTGAAGATAGTTTGCTGAAACATTTCAAAACTAATACAAATGACTGGTTGGTAATTTCTTCAAAAACGTTTAGAGCATTTTTGAAACTGAATTTAATTGCCGTTTTGATGTATATAACAATGTGAAAAATGATAGTCCTTGATAAGGCTATTTGTTAGTTTTATCAATTTTTGTTGCCCCGAATAATACCATGATTTTGGTGGTTCTGGAAGAAAGTTACCTAATGAACTCTTTCACTTATCCCACTTCTACATAAACTGTATTGGATAATTATGGAATTTGAAATGATGAATCGACCAGTGTTAGACCACCGTTAGAAACCTGGAAGCCGTTTCATCCTGGTATGGGACTCATCAGCAGTGCGTATCCACGGCTCCTGCACCTTGCATGATTCGAACCCAGGACCTTCAGTCATGACTTAAAATGTGTAACTTAACAATCTTCACAACCCTGTAATGCAATTACATGTGCTCACTAGTGACTAGCTACGTGAGGAATCTTCTCCGGGTTCTAATGGGAAGTCGTGACCAATGAAGTTCAAAGTGTTCGAGTGTAGACAGTAACTACCGAAGAGTGTATGAGGTTGCGCAAGACCATGAATCGATCGAAGTGTGGCACTAACACCCTTGGCTACTGGCTCAGTGGTCCAGAGATCAGGCGTTCGCGCACAAGTCCGGAGGTCCTGGGTTCGGATCGTGAGTGGGACAGGAGTCGTGGAAGTGCACTGTTGATGAGTCCCATACCAGGATGGGACGGCCGTCCAGTGCTTCCAGGTTTCAAATAGTGGCTTAAGATTGATCGACTCATGATTCCAGGTGTGTAACTTAACAGTCTTCACAACCCCGTAATGCAGTTAGGGAACTCACTTATTACTACTTCATACTGGTAGACTGAACTATGGGACACACTTTTCTCACAAAACACTGGTGAAAATCCACGTTTTGTTCATGTACTTAGTGCTTATATTTGATATTTAAACCATATCAAATATTATGAACTCATTTCAATTCATAATGTTTGTCGTGCTTGCTTTACCAAAAATAATTATTTGTATCACAAAGACATTAAAAATCATATTCCATTATGAACTTTATTAAAACTATTATAAACAAACCTTTTCAGAAATTCTACTTACTTTTGATGACAATGAATCATTAATTACACAAAATAGTAACATCTGTAAACAATTGATATTTGAAAGATTTATGATTTCAAAACTATTTTCATATTGAATCAATGTTGGTTAGAAATACTGTCAGACGAAAGGATGTTAAACATTCCTGTGAGGAGCAGGAATCGTGGATGAGCACTGCTGATGAGTTCCATATCAGGACGAAACTGCCGTGCAGTGCTTTCACGTTTCTAATGGTGGTCTAACAAAGACTGAATGATGATTTCAATGTGCAACAGCCTATTTTTTTTATCTCATCAGTCTATTAGCACTGCTTAAAATGGAGTTAGATTTACAGTGTCTTGAAATATTTTTTATCATACCACACAAAATAGTTAATGTGTGTTAAAATAGATTATAGAAATATTTCACTTTACTCACTATTTAACAGTAGTTGAAAAAATAACACAAAATATTATTGCCATCAACATTAACTTTGAAAAGAAAATCAATCAGTTGAATGATGTTATTTAGTAAAGCTAAATACGTTTTCAAGTTAATCTCAAAGTATGAACACCAAGATTTTCAAGATAAAACAGCTATAAATTGTTTTGCAACTTTCTAACTAGTGAAAATAGTTTAGTTTATGTTTATCATTGTCTTAAATTATTGATTATCGAAATTAGGAAGTTAGACATTAACACCGTTAGATACCGGCTGAGTGGTCAGCATGGTTAGGCGTTCGCGTGCAAGACTGAAGGTCCCGGGTTCGAATCCTGTGGGGAGCAGGTGTCGTGGATGAGCACTACTGATGAGTCCCATACCAGGACTTGACGGCCATTCAGTGCTCCCAGGTTTCTAATGCTGGTCTAACATTGATCGATTCATGATTTCAAATGTGCAACTTAGCAGTTTTCGTAACGCCATAATGGAAAAAATTAGCAAGTGACAGAAGAAATTTTCCTAATCAGTAATCAATTATTAGAAATATGACTTTAGTTATATCCTCCAATATTACACAATAAAGGTAATAATCCACATAAATTTCAATAAAACATAAATGAATGATTAAAACATGTTTGAAAAAAGGAGAGAACATAGCGAGTAAAAATAATAAACTAGTAGAAAGAGCTAAAAGGGATTCCAAGCTTATTTATTTCAAATATTAAGAATATTTCCTATCTTAATTATGAAGTAGAATTCAAGTTTGAGTCATTTGTTTATGAACAGACAAGTAGTATTAATTCTGTGACTGACTACGTATTTACTTACTTCATTACTCATAGTGATATCTCGTTTCCGTTCATACTTTCTGTTTTAAATAGTTTCTTATTTAAGTGTATATTCTCCTTGATTTTCTCCAACAGTTCACTTCATTGATGGGACGAATACTTTTTTATCAACATTGATGCACTTGAATTAGTTGAGACAAGAGATAATTTAGAAATGAATTTACGTTTAAATCGATCAGCACAAAAATCTGTCAAAATGTCATCTTTTTTAAGTCATACTAATCGACAATTCAATCATCTCAATACTTATTCACATCGTAGTTTAAATGACTTGCCTCAAATGAATTCAACATTATTAGTATCAAAATCTTCACATTCAACATCAACATCATCGTCATCATCATCATCAACTCATGATTATTTATATAATAATACACTTCAAGATGATCATAGCAATTCTGTTAATCAATGTCCATACTGTACAGTTCAGTTGAACACTTCTCAATCATATCCATTTCATTCTGAATTTTCTAAAACATTAAAGAATAGAAATATAAACAACGAGGTATACAATTCAAATGGTTCATTAAAACTTCCAATTTGCTCAGGGACTAATACACATTGTTCATGTTATTTTTTCAAACAAATATCTTCACCCCAATGTTATTCAAGTACTAATGATGTGTCCAGCGATCAGAATAAAACACAATACAATGTACCAATTCATACAAACTTATCCAATTCACATTATTCCTTGCCAATAAAAAATACTTGTTCAAATGATCAGATGATTGAAACTTATCATTTAAATGAGAATTCTATTGAAAATATTGATGATGATGATTTAAAGAATTGGAATCATGACCATTATTTTTATCATCATTATAATGATAATTTAACTCGAACAACAACAACAACACCTGCACTTCAACAAAAAATCAATAACAATAATCATAAAAAACGATTACAAGCCTATTCAAAATCTCTTTATTGGAATAAACCTATAAAACACGGTAAAATCAATAAAATTGCATCAACATCCAATTCACAATTGAAACATTATTTCCCAGTTAGTTTTAGTACAGTAGCAGCCAGCAGTCGTAAAGATCGTCAATCTTTAAAACATATAAAACAAGATATTCATTATATAGCAAAAGCGGCAAGACAATTATTAGTAGAATTAAAAGAACGTGAATTTAAAGCGAAAATTATTGAACAATGGAAAATAGTCGGTATTGTATTAGATAGAATATTTTTTATTCTTTACTTTGTTACAATTCTTTTGTCAGCTTTATTATTTCATCCGACATTAATTGATGATTATAGTGATGATTAGGTAGAGATTTTATTGTTTAATTGCCAAAACTAGTCGAAATTATTGGTTTTAATGAATTGATTTAACAAATGCTATTGTATAAAATGTGTAAAAAAACATTTGAACTATGAAAAACACATTGTTTTAATTGTTTTTGATTTTGTTTTAAATAACTTAACATATTGGTCAGCAGTATGGACGATTTGTGAAGGTTATAGTTTGTTCACAGTTAAGATCATAAATTGATCTCAGCTGATCACTAGAGAAGAGATACTACCAACCCTAACTCAGGTCTCAAATGGTCGAAAAATGAAAAGTTCGGAAACGCGAAAAAATCAATGCCCGACATGAGACAAAGAGTAATAGAAGTGTTTGGGCCTATTTGCATCAAGCTGTGATGCCTCTTCTACTATCCTGCGCCATATATGTGTACACCATATGCTATACTGCTATATAGAGCTGAAGGTCTCCTATGAGACTAGAGGTTCGCTGTGAATATTGTGGATGGCTTGGCTTTGCTTTGGTAAGCATTGTTAACAGTCCATATACAAAATTGGTTAGCAGGGTGACCGATTTCATTGATATACTGGTGGTTGTTTTGCAACATTCCCGAGGGCCATTGTATTTGGGGTTCTGTATTTCTGCATATCACCATTGCTAATAATAATGAATTTGACAGTCATGTAAGCAGTATGGGTCAAAAATTGGCCTGTTCATGCGGTGCATATTGATTGACGTGATCATGGATCGGAAATAATCACTATATATGTACTAGGGTATATAAATGGTGTGAATGGTTCACCAGGGTGTCTGGTACCTTTGTGTTTGCACAACGGGGCTGAGCCGAACTGTTCATGTAGTAATCGTAAAACCTGTGCAGTCTCTTTGGTTCTGCTGAAAACGAATGTAAAATTACCCTTGACAATACAGGGTAAATTTATATAATTGTGAATAATAAAAAAGATCACCAGTGAAAACCTGAAATCGTTATTGGATGAACTTGTTGTTCTAGTTTGCAACTTCCCTGCAGTGTATATTCATGCACGCGCTTGCAGGACATTCGGTCTTGAGGAAACGTCTAACCTCTAGATGACCTAAAATGAAACAGTAGTTTAATCTATCTTGGTTTTTAATGGGTGTTCTAGCTAAGATCATTTCGCGAAAATACACGTCGCTGTTTGTCTTAAATATTTAAGTAAGTTGTTTTAGGGACCAATGAAACTAAACCGAAAGGTTGATAGATACTCAAACGGTTTTCCTTAAATTGATAAACTAACGTTTCTGAATCCTTAATCTACTTCATACCTCCAGATAAGACAGAAGTCAGAATCGTATAATTACCTTAACTAAAAATTATTATATTTATTTACGCCGCAATTAAATGCACATTTTAAACATATTTTTACCGAAATTTAAGCTTTCATCAGTGAAAACAAGCTCATACAAAGTGAAATAATATGATGATCTGATGACAAAACCTAATAAAATCTCAAACACTGTTAATCACTGAATATAATAATCATGTGTTCACTAAGTAAGACCTATAGCTTGTTATAAAGTCAAATTTTAAGATAATTGATAAGTAATGCAAAGGGCTACCGTTATGCTAATCTGTGGTCTCTCAGCTTCTAATGCTTTAGAAGCTTTCTCAACCAATTTTATATAAAAACCCTAATGAAGCAATATAACATGAATTTATAGAAGGCTGCAACCACATGTTTGTGACAACATTTGTTGGCTTTTATACGTATGACAGAGTCTTCTGACTATCCTAAGCAACAATGCAAGCATGTTCGGGATGCGGTTTTCCCCCTCGAAATGCAACATGTTGCTTCAAGATTGGGTTTCATCGGCACCTGAACTAGTGATAGGGAGTGAAGTAGTCGAACGTGTAGACCGCTTCACTTATCTGGGGAGTCTCATCAGTGCCGATGGCCTGGTGACTGACGAAATCTCAGCTCGGATACAGAAGGCTCGATTGGCTTTTGCCAACCTGCGTCACTTATGGCGTAGGCGAGATATCCGTTTGCTGACTAAAGGACGAGTGTACTGCGCAGTGGTTCGCTCCGTCTTACTTTATGGCTGTGAAACATGGCCAGTTAGAGTAGAAGATATTCGTAGGTTTCTGGTTTTCGATCATAGGTGTCTTCGAAGCATTGCTCGCATATCCTGGGACAACCGAGTAATCAATGCTGTAGTTAGGAAACGAGTACTAGGTAAGGATGGCAGATCAATAGATGAAGTGGTGATACTTCATCAGTTGAGGTGGTTGGGAGATGTGTTGCGTATGCCTAACCACCGACTGCCTCGTCGAGCTTTGTTTTGTAGTGTAGGAATAGGTTGGAAGAAAGTTAGGGGCGACCAAACCAAAACATGGCAGAAATCCATGAAGTCATTGACGAGTGGACTGAGCCATTTCGGTAGTTGTCGACTACCTGGTTGGGGTCCGCGAGATGATAATAATCGATGGTTAGAGACCTTGAATGACATGGCTCAAAATCGTTCGCAATGGCGTCGGTGCATTTATTCTTTGTGTTCTCTCAAATCCTAATCTGGATTCTTCAACCCCTCTAGTTTTGACTTTCTAAACTTTTCTCACTGAATCATACTTGTTGAATAATATCTTCTAATCCTAACCTCTCCGATTACTTCTAATTCCTTTACTACCTCTTCTACAATTGGATTTGAATTGACATCTCTGTGTTGATGTGGTATGGCGACATGAACTGATGTACTTACGTACGAAGTTCTACGTTGCAACTGACTGACTGACTGATACGTATGACAGACTAGATACTGTATAGGTATGGCAGTTAGATCAGTCATTTATTATTAATCTGTAAGTGCCCCACACTGATAAAAGCTCTCAGAGACCATTCATCGAAACTAGGAGATCGATAATTTATATAAAATGGCTGGAATTCTCACTACTTGATTTTCCAATACACTAATTCACTAATCTTGTTTGATAGACATGTAATAATCAGGTTTTAAATAATGTACATATGGTTTATGTGCTGGTTGATTAAGGCATTACTGGCTGTCTGACCCCTTAAAATTGTGTGCTGTTACATAGGTTTAGTTCTCTTATTAAATTTTATTGGTATGAACTATAATAATTCATAAACCTCTAACCATTAGTTTAAAGTTACTTAAACAATATATATCTTTAACTCTGTATCGTTAGGTGCTGTAATGTATTCTCAAACAGAGATATTTTGAAGTCGCATCATCGGCATGTTTCAGCAACATCTAAACTACACAATTTAAGTACAATTGGTTCATTTTTCAGCAGTCCTTATTAAATCAAGTTATTCCAATACAATGCAAAGTCAGGTGAAATGTCACTTAGCTAAACGCAAAGGTAGTTTGATTATCGTCTCCCATGATAAAACTATAAACATGCTAAGTAAAAAAATTACCTCAAGTGGAATACTTGTAAAAATTAGCGCATGCAACTTGTAGTGACTCCACTTTTACGAGGAAAATGCGATTGTTTAAATAGAAACAATCAGTATTATAACCAATTGTACCAGTGACTGTTTAACTGAACTTCTTGTTTATTCGTACTTCTGTACCATACTCTGCTTCTGCGCGGTCGCCACCTTGCTTTTGTTGCTCTGTACCTTTCGCCTATTTTCTCTGGCACGATTTCAGTATTATTTCGATACCACGAAATCTCCAGCAAATATACTTATTTATCTGGACTATCCCTTCTCATATGTTATTAATTCACGATGGGATAACGCTTGAGACCCTAACATAATTGGTTGATAGATGTGTTTGACTCAAACCACCGATACATGTATGTTCATGTATGTTCAAAAAGGACGAGTGTTTAAAAATATGAATATGCACAACGTAAATATAGATATAGTATCGAAATGCAAAATTAACAAACTAAAGTCCAAATCATCTAAAAACCAACTGACAAATTTTTAAGCTGTTTATTTGACTGGTACTGTATGAAGTGTAATCAGTGTATCAAAGAATCCTGTCCCAATCAAAAGTATCCGAACAACAGAAGACTGATCACAGTTAGGTTATACGATTTATCCGAAATCATGAAGGTCATGGATGACTGATCTGAATGAATCTGTCAACTGAATTTCTCTGCTTACTTAGTAGTGTTATTACACCCCATACTTCTTCATTCTGTTTTACTAAATATATGACATTATTCTGGCAATCTTGTATCTATCATCTGGGGGTACTAAAGAAGCAGAGCAACGAAGTCACCAGGCTGGTTGAATCAGACGTAGCAATCGTTACATGATGTGAGTTTGACTCAATATTTTGTAAGCCAAGTAAGTCGTACTATCTTATCGGATCGAATCGCATGAAAGAGGCTTATTTACGGAGATATAAACGTGGAAATGTACTTCAGAATCTAAAGATATTTTAAATTTCGTTTAGCCGTCATCAAATGTATCGCAGACCACTGTACTGAAGTAATAAAATATCGCCTATTTTTCATCAAGCGCTTTACTGTAATACTCAGACTTCATCTAAAAAATATCCTTAATTTTCATTAACATCACTTTGTGTGTATACCATCATTCACAAATATCCTATCCCCATGACAATACAACAAGGTCCTCGACCTACACTAACCCTGTGCTCCTAGTGGTTGTTATATATTTTTGATATCCATTCAGTTGTAAGTCCAGTTGAGATAACCTAGAGGTAAGTGTTCGTCACAAAACCAGGCGAACGGGAATGGTTGAGTATCGGGTAAACAATCTAACCCCATGAAAAACTCGCCGAAAAATGCAGATAAACCGACAAGCGTACACAAACTTTTCTCTAGGACTTGAAGTCTTCAAAATGAAAAGTTAGGACACCTCATATTGAAAGTCCTGATCCCTGCAAAGTCTGCAACTACTAATATAATTGAGTGGATTGCCTGAAAATGTGGCAGAAATAGTGAAACAACTTAACAGTGTTTTGAATAAGTGAGACCTATTGAACACAAGCTCAACAGAAAAGATCAATTTCGAGAGAGTCACTATAGTACTCCAGTCATG